CAGGTTGGGCAATTGCTCAGAATCGTTCTTGTGCTTGGTGCTGGTGCACAGCATGTTAAGAACGTGCTGATACCATTCTTGAACGATATAACGTTGCTTTTGTCGCGTCAGGAGCAGAAGCACTTGTTGATGGAGCCTCCGTATTCGGAGTTTACGGCGGGTGTTGTGGAGAAGTGGCTGATGAGGGTTCTTGGGGCGAGGCCGTTTTCTGAGCTTGCGTTAGAGGATCTGAAGGTCGGATGTGATTGTGCTTTGTGCACGAAGCATCTTGCTCCGGTCCTCAATGGCGGGCAGCGTGGGCAAAGGAAGTTCAGGGCGCAGGTGGTATCGGGAGAGAAACAACATTTTGAAGCGATCCTTGAGGGTTTGGAGCGGTGGGGTGTTACGTGGAGGGTGATTCGGGTGATTGGGGATTCGCACAAATATCAGGTATGAATCTACCCTCAGTGTTTTTAGACCCTACTAAAGGATTAATCGATCATGATTGTGCCATCTAGATTGAACGCCCAGGACTTGATCTACTGAGCGAGTGGAGGAAGACAGCAACCGAAGCTCGGAAACTGCTCAAGAGTCTTGGGACTGATGGGGAACAGCAAAAGATATTGGGTTTTCGATATCATTGGGCGAAGGACTTTGTCGCTGGAATTCATGCCCAACCTCCGACTAGCGCGTTATCAGAACCAAGTCCAGCTCATTCGCATGTGGCCAAACGCCCGCTGGAGAGCCCACCAGACGGAAACTCTAAACGGCTCCGGCTTACTTGACTGCGCTGGTTTGTGTTCTACTATCGGTTTCCAAGCATTTTCAGCTTTCAAAATAGATATCTTACATCCATCTTTTTGTAGTCTTTCAATCTTGATGCTCCGGCTTCTCTTGCGTCGTTTGCGCTCGTAATTCTATCCATTGACTTGATACAGGAGTCGACCCTATTCCCCCTGTCCAGGAAAGTCAGATAATGGTCCCGAAAAGCTGCTTCTGTGAGCTCTATGACATGGAGAATATCGCCAAGTATGATGAGCTTGCTATGAAACCATTCTTGAGAGCACCAAGGTGTCGGCCACTGGTTGCATGGTCTTTGCTGAGGTTCAAACGTTCAATTACGAGGCTCGAGAACTTGATGGCAACATGTTACCCTCCAACTTTGATTTCCTGAATTCTCGTGAGTAAGAAAACGTGTGCGGGTCCAGCATTCATGAGAACTGAAGAACGCCATGAGGAGATGAGAATGCAGGAAGAAAGGCGTCGGCATACGGTCCCGAATCGACGTGAGAAATTGAACATTGACGACGAACCACTACTTACTCACCTCCTCAAAAGGAACGCGTCCATCACAAAAAACCCCGGGAGACTATATAGCCTTACACGTGTTATCAGGCGCCTGTCCGAATGTCAAGGCGCGTATAATCAGTTATCATCTTCTGTCATGCTCTCTGTTCATTTAAATGGTGTCGCTTGAGGTTGAGATTTCTCCACTTGCATATCACGGATGATCACTCACCTGCGAAAATTGCAGCTACAACGTAACAAGAAAGAATTCATGCCGGCCTGTTATAATGCTCGAAAAATAATTTCCCGGTGCTTCCACTCGATTCCCATGTCCGGTTGAGATTACTGCACGATTGTCGTTAGGAAGCAAGAGGATAACTTGTTAGTTTTGGATACCAGTAGGCGGAATCCTGGTTGCTGAGCCCCTCAACCTTCAGGCAATGGGTTGTCCGCTGTTGTCCGCAAGCAGTCCGACCAATATTGTCAAATTGGAACAAGTACATAGTGGCGCTGGCGAGCTCACTGAAGGAAAACTCGAGTCTCGACGTCAACTTCCAGATTTAGTCAACTGAGGACTTAGTTTGGTTCGCCGGGGTCCCGGGTGTACTACGGGGTAAGCAACCCTTGAAACTTTCGAACGTATACTGAAGGGCCTCGGCCCTGCCTGTCTCCACTAACTCCTTGGCTGAAGTGAACGATGGAGCTAGCGTTGGAGCTGCGTTGGAGTCGTAGAATGCACCATAGGGAACCGGCTATTACGTTGTCTGAGTCCAGGGGTATAAGAGTCCGAGAGTCGGCACTCAACGCAATCCACAAAATTTACCTTCTCAACCCCCCAAGTTCAGTTTCTGTCTTACACCCCACTAATGCCCACCTCGTCAGCTCTCAAACTCGAAGCTGAGCTTCGTCTCAAGCATTGCATCGACAGGTAAAGGTACCAGGGGCCTAACAAGAGACTGTGGCGAGGAAAGAAGTGTGGAACTGGTTCACGGTCAATAGTCAGTTTTCACCCACTCCTTGTTCTTTGCAACTCAGCTAATTGACGCACAGCCGGCAATGACCCTGACAGACTGATCTTGAAGGCTTAAAGTTGAAGGAATACGAAGGGACCTCGCAGTACTTGTACGTGGATCTCAATATTTTTTTTTGCTCGACATTTATTTACGTCTAGCATAAGTATCTCCCGCGGATATAGCTCCGAGCCACAAGAACTTTGACTCTCGAGACACAGACGTCGTGATGTTCACTGGTATTTAGTTCTGTATGTAACCTAGGAAGAAGCCATGTATTAGTATATTTGATTTCTACCAAATTTCCACGCAATAAATATGATTTTTATGCATAACAATCGAGCGATTTGAGAACAGACAGCCTAGTGGATCAGTGGTTCACTGCGACGACGAAGAGCTGTCAATATTATTGTGTGCGTCGCTCGAGATATGGGATGGCAGCTCGGGGCTGCTGATGTCAATTGCAACTCCGTATGCCTGTTCATGACAAGAAGGAATCCGGATGATAGCAGATGAGGGGAAGTGGTCGAGATGGTAGCAAATGAGGAGGAGCAGTCAGGATGTTGTTTTGTCTCCCTCGTTGTTTTCGAAGATATTCCTGGGAAATCGGCAATCCGTCTGACACCAAATTATAACCGATTTCAGGCCATCATAATCCATTATCTACTTTCCCGGATTTCTGTGATGTCATCAGCGGAGCCCGTCGACGAAAATTTGTGCTCTCTCCCGAAGTGCAGAAGATTGGGACGGAGATACCAGGAGAGCTCCGGTCGTTGAATCGATGACAGCCCCATAGTCTGCCCACTCGAGGATACCGCAAGTCATGGCATCCACAAACGGTCAAAAGGGCCTGGAGACTCTGAGTCGCCTGGAGTTGGATAACGAGCGTGCGGCTGAAGTACACGACGGCGACGACGAATCTGAGGACAAGAACGATTTTTCGATTTCGAGCTCTAGTTGGATTTTGAGGAGGGGTCTTATATGGTGCGTTTCAACTCTTCTGGATGGAAAGCATGGGCTGACTAGGACTGCTCGTGCAGGCTCTTGCCCCCCTTTCATTGGCATTTTATCCCATCGCCCTCTTACGTTTCTCATCCTCTACACACTCTTCACACTCGTCACACATTTTCTTCATAACCACGAGCACGACCCCAGGTCGTTCACAGCAAACCTCCCATTTGCAGTCTGAGAAATCCTCATCTCGGACAGCTCCTACACGCTAGCACACATCATCTACATTAGACAGTCGGATGGGTGTTGCTCCAAGCTATTGCGGACGCACGGCAGAGGTATCAAGCTATTGAAGTGTACAAGGGTGTGTTGGGTGATGTGGGGAGGGATACGGCGTTGAGAGACGTTGGAGTCGGGTCAGGACTGGGAGATTGAGCCGGAGGGGAGGACACGGTTGACGGGTACGGCACCACCACCACTACCAACATGAAACCTGGTAGTGGTAACAACGTCAACGGTGGCGGCGACATTGCATTTACTACAACAACCACGGCGGCAGCGGTATCATCCTCGCTAGTATACGCAACACTATCGATCATCATGCGGTGATTACGATTCATTTGCTGGGTATACCGTATACCTTCTCCTACCGGACCTGCAGACAAAGCTTCATCTTCATCCGTGTATAGCGGACCGGTCGTGTATGGGCACTGTTCGAAGCAATTGGGGGTGTATGGCAGGGGTATTGGGCCATCGAGGCGTGCAAGGATGCGTTGGTTAATATGAGGAGGGTCAGAGCGTTGAGAGATGTAGTTGGAGGTCGGCCTGGATTAGGAGACGGAGAAAGGGTACCGGAGCGGTCAAAGGGTGCGGTGCAGCCGCCAGCACCACTAGCACCAACCCGGATCCTGGCAGCAGCAGCGACACCAATGCCGATGACGACGTTACGCCTACCAAAGTTAACAACCTGAATCGAGGCCGACTCCCGCGTGTCCGCGCTGTCAGCGACAGCGGCGGCACAGAACGTCAGTGCTCCAGTCGTACCACCGGACTCGGAAGCTGCTACCACCACTATCTATCGTACTCGAAAGAGCCCATGAACTTCAACCCAGGACCCTCGTTGAAGTCGAAGCAACGAGAGACCTAGACTGGATCATGGCATTACAGAAATGTTGCGAGTTGGAGAGGGTCCACGAGGTTGCCTTCGCTACAGATTTCTTCTTCAGGTTTCAAGATCCCTATCCCGATATTGACAGAATGCACGTTATCGTCCTATGCCTCCATTGCGTCAACTTGTTGCTCCTCTCAACGTTCCACGGGGCTTACACCCGTCTTGACTTCCCCTCGACTGTTCCACTCCTGTTGTTCATCGTCCTATAGCTCACACTCTATATCCTCCTTTCGGAAGTTGCGTTACCGAGTGCAGGCGCTCATACGGTCGTGTATCATTATGTCAAGTTCATGGTTTTGCTCACGATATTGCTGGGTGAGCTGGAGATATGGGTATTAGGCAATCATTCCGTAGAAGGGATTGACATTACATTCTTACTTGTACTGAATCTTTTTGAACTCGTGGATTTATGGACTGTTGCGTATCTTTCCTGGTTTGGTCTATCTATGCACACATATGTTCACGATTTCTCGAATACCTCCACCCAGTGCTAGCTACTATTCACACACCCGTATCGGCACTTCATACATGGAACCCGTACTCCGAAATCAAACTAAGACCAGACCGAGAACAGGAAGAAAAAGATCGAGTTGGGTTCATATTGCATTAAGAGGGAATCGAACCCCCGGCGGGTCGAGTCTTGGCACTACGACATGGCAACGACCCAGGTTACCACTACCCCATTAATGCGTTCTGGTGAGTCGTGTAGAGGTTGACATGAAAGCATCTGCAGGGTAGTATGCGGTCTTTCTGCGGGGAACTACCACGCTCACATATGATATGAGAGTTTAAGTGGAAATGCGAGAATCTTGGATGGATTAGGCCGTTGAGAGGAGTTAGACAAAGGGAGAAGGTCGTGAACAAAAGTCTGATCACTTATATCGGCAACGTCCGAACCATTTGACGCGGCATTCCATTTTGAACCCACACCATCATCACTTCTACTATGGTCGGAAAGTAGGACCCCTCCACTTATTCTCCGTAATCGAAGTCGAGGCAAGATCGATGGGAGCGACCGATTGAAAATATTCTGGGCCGAGCTGAAGCCGGTGCTGGTGAGCTCTCAATTTTCTTGAGCCGGATTTCGAGTCTGAACAACGCGATCAACTCTAGGTCGTACGGTCGATGGTTATGATTGTTGAAGGGAGTAAAGGTAGGACTCTGAGAGCGTGTTAGTACTGCGTTCATGGCTCATCGTGAGAACTTCGGTTACTGAACGTTCAAGTCCCGCTAGCGAGGCTGGCCGCTGGGTTCACTGCCTGAACCTGAACCACGACCTTTAGACTCGTGAGACGTGTCAACCATTCTTATCACGCGAAACCATGGATGAAGACATCATTCTTTCACAATCTGAAGAATCTTGTGATGACTATGAGGGAGACTCGGTCGATGACAACCTCATCAAGGTCTGTTTTTGCTTGACTTGGGTGAAGGAAACGAACTAAAATCGTCATTTGGTGGCGTATATCTCCAGAAAACTCTAGATGACGCGTTACACCAGTCGGAGAAAGAGGTCGCGCATGCTTTTCGCTCGTGGAAGGCTGCCATAGACCGCGAAGACCCCAACGCAGGAGACGACTCGGATACCCCGCACCTTCTCGCTGTTCTACTCGAGGGGGAATATCCCAGAATTCCCAAGTACGACCCTTTCTTATCTCAAGGAAAACTAGATCGGGAATACTGCCCACTCAAAGTCTCATCGCTGCAAGAGCCCGACCGGACTACAACAGGACAAGCCTCACAGAACATCTCGGGTTGACACCGGATTTGAGTGAACACAGTGAACGAGGTCATAGAACAGTGTATTTATTGAGTACTGATAGTTGTGATTAAAATACTATCGGAAAAAGTGAACGCTAGCGTGAACAGAAAAACAACAGCGGGGAACCGGGATAACTGAATAGACTCTGCGAAAACGAAATACCAAGGGAAACCAGAATAAGACAACGGAACGGACCGGACAGGAATAAGTACGAGAGAGGGATGCGAAGCGATGATCAATCGACTCGAAGCCGCTCGCGGAGATCCTCTAAGCGCGAGAGAGAATGGAAGGGGCGTGGGCGTGGGGAACTGCTGGAAAAGTGAACACTGGTGTGAACAAAGAAATGTGCAACAACAGCGGGGAACTACAATAACTGAACAGACCCCGCGACAACGAGGTACCAGAGAACGAGAATAGAACAACAGAACGACCCGGGCAGGAATAAATATGAAAGAAGGATGCGACTCGAAGTCGCTCGCGAAGATCTTTCAACCGTGAAAGAGAATAAAAGGGGCATGGAGACTGCTGCAAGTGAACCCCAGTGTGAACAAAGAAATGTGCAAAAAAAAAGCGGGGAACTGGGATAACTGAACAGACCTCGCGAGTACGAGGTACCAACATGGGAACGAGAGAAGGACAACGGAACGAACTAGACAGGGATGAATTTGAGAGAAGGGTGCGGTGATCAATCGACTCGAAGTCACTCGAAGTCGCTCGCGAAGATCCTCTGACCGTGAAAAAGAGTGGAAGGGGCATGGGGAACTGCTGAAAAAGTGAACGCCAGTGTGAACAAAGAGATGTGCAACGAAAGCAGGGAACTGAGATAACTGAACAGACCCCGCGAGAACGAGGTACCAAGATGAGAACGAGAATAGGATAACGGAACGACCCGGGCAGGGATAAATATGAGAGAAGGATGCGAGGCGGTGATCAATCGACTTGAAGTCGCTCGCGAAGATCTTTTAATTGTGAAAGAGACTGAAAGGGGCATGGGGAACTGCTGGAAAAGTGAATACTATAGTGGGGAAACAAACTAAATGATCAAATGTCTGTTGGCTTCGCTGTGTATGGGATCCACAGCTACTAGTCCCTTGGGCCACGTAGAGGCCAGACATTGTCCAAGGGTTGGGTAGCACATACCCGACGAGCATGAGTACACGAGGGCAAGGTAAACGTAAAGCAAGCAAAAGGGCAAGCACGAGGGAACCAAGATAGGAACAATAAATCAAAAGGGGTAGGAGAGGAAGTGCGACAACGGACTGAACAGGATCGAACAAGAGGACGCAGTAACGAGACAGAAGGGAACGGGACACGCATCATCTGTAAGCAGCGTAAAGGGAACATCCTGCAAAGTGAACAACTACCCGCACAGGTCGAAGTAAAAGCAACACCAGAAAGATGAACACCGACCCACAAACAAGTGAATCAGGGGGCATATCAGGGGGAACTACAAGAATCGGATCTTCAATGGTGCGGGAATGGGGTCGAGGGCAAAAGAATGTACATTGTCATTGGTTTTTGTTGTTCCGCCTCTGGCGTTTGACTTTACCGTTGCCTCCCCTCTTGTCGGGGGATACCACAGGGGTTGGGCGAGACTGCGGACGCTTTTTACGCTTTTTTGGAGGAGTTTGATGCTCCTCAATTTGACCTTGCGCCTCCATCTGCTTTCTTTTCATCCCCCTCGTGAATTTCGGAGACTTCTTCGAGGTTTGGCCCACATGGAGCTTTGGCTTTGTGGGCGTCGCTGGATTTGCGGCAACCGCCGAAGTGGTCGCTTTGACAGCGGTTTCTATTTGGCGGATCTTATTAGGGGCAAGGAATTCAATCAAGGATGAACGTGAACGTACGTTGGTCCTCATCGTCGATATCGAATTCTCCGTCGGGGTCCTCCAAGGAAGCATCTATCGACGAGTAAATGAAGGGTAATTAAGGTTTGAAGAATCCTGAAGTTGCGCACCCGAGAGGCCGTCATTTGTGCCATAAAGGCCAGTATTAAATGGGTCGATCACCATTGCATCATCTTCAGAGGCTGATGCGAATTCTTCCTCGTGCGCCGAGGTCGCAGAAGGAGCTTGAAATGACCAGTTAGGGAGGGTAGACCTGAGACAACAAGTGAGCCCACCAGAAGCGCCATCCAACTCCTTTGCGGGCTCTGCTCCGCCATCCGAGACCATGGACGCAGCTGATAATGTGAAGTTAGAGGTGAGTCGAGGAGGCTTCAATGATTGAACACACCGAAACCGCCGTTCGGCACCTCTTCGGGGTTCTCTCCATTAGCTGCCGTGGGCAGAGCTTCTCACGAAAAGTCAGGGAGTGTTAAGCAGTAAAGAGGGTTCAGCTATCAGCTAACCAATGTCACTTCGTGGGCCAGCTGGCACCTCCTCCTTTTCAATAATCAGGGCGGTAACTGAAAGGAAGTCAGAACGGCGTGAAACGAGGGAAACAAATGAACTGACCAGCTCCGGCGTTCACTCGACCCTCCGGTTCACTTTCCTTCCCGCCAGCCGGGGCTGCAGGAGAACCTGTAAATTATCAGTCAGGGAGAGGTAGGCCTGAAGAAACGAGTGAACATACCGGAAGCACCGTTCACCTGTGGGGGCTCGTTGACCGGAACCATGGTCACATCTGGAAGAGGGAAATCAGAGAGCGTTGAGTAGCTAGAGGGGTGAATGAACTCGCCAGAATCGCTCGACGGGATAGCTCGCACAACACCCTTTTCAATGATCGGAGCGGTATCTGGAAAGAAGTCAGAATGGGGTGAAACGAGGGAAACAAGTGAACTGACCAACTCCGGCGTTCACTTGACCCTCCGGTTCACTCTCCTTCCCGCCAGTCTGGGCTGTAGGGACCAATGCGACCGTCTTTTCGATGGCAGGGACTACAGCTGGGGGAGGTCAGAATAAGTTGTAACGAGGGAAACAAGTAAACTGACCAGCTCCGGCGTTCACTCGACCCTCCGGTTCACTTTCCTTCCCGCCAGCCGGGGCTGCAGGAGAACCTGTAAATTATCAATCAGGGAGAGGTAGGCCTGAAGAAACAAGTGAACATACCGGAAGCACCGTTCACCTGTGGGGGCTCGTTGACCGGAACCATGGTCACATCTGGAAGAGGGAAATCAGAGAGCGTTGAGTAGCTAGAGGGGTGAATGAACTCGCCAGAATCGCTCGACGGGATAGCTCGCACGACATCCTTTTCAATGATCGGAGCGGTATCTGGAAAGAAGTCAGAATGGGGTGAAACGAGGGAAACAAGTGAACTGACCAACTCCGGCGTTCACTTGACCCTCCGGTTCACTCTCCTTCCCGCCAGTCTGGGCTGTAGGGACCAATGCGACCGTCTTTTCGATGGCAGGGACTACAGCTGGGGGAGGAAGTCAGAATAGGTTGAAACGAGCAAAACAAGTGAACTAACCAGCAATGTTCACTTGAGTGGCTGGCATCTCTTTCCCTTTAGTCGGGGTTGTAGAAGAGACTGGAAACGATTAGTCAGGGAGGGTTGAATCTCCGGAAGGAAAGTGAACGTACCAGTGGCACCGTTCAGTTCTTTTGGGGGGTCTGCTCCGCCAACCATGGCTGAGAATGGGAAGTCAGAATGAGGCGAACCGAGAGAAGCGAATCAACATACAGGAGCCAACATTTGGCGTCTGTTCGGGCCGCTGATCGCCAGGAGAAGTGGTTATACAACCTGAGCGTAGAAGATGACCGAAGGGAACGAATATCAGCGGGGGGAGCGAACGTACCTCTAGCAGGGGCGTCATTCACTGACTGAACTTGACTTTCGCCAAGAGGGGCTGCTTCGAAATCTGAGGACGATAGGCAAGCCGAGAGAATGTAGTTACTCACTGTCTCGATCAGTCGAGTTGGCAGACCTACCCGTTGATTGGGGTAGAAATACAAAGGTATCATCTCGTGGGGCGACTAGGAAGTCC